CGACTGTAGTGTCGAGGCGACTTTAAGGGGTACCGACCGTAGTGTAGAGGCACCGACCGTAGTGTCGAGTCACTGACCGTAGTGTCGAGTCACCGACCGTAGTGTAGAGTCACCGACCGTAGTCGCCTTAAAGTAGTGTAGTGTAGAGGCGACTTTAAGGAGTGCCGACCTTAGTGTAAAAGTGACTTTAAGGAGTAGCGACCTTAGTGTAAAAGCGGCTTTAAGGAGTAGCGACCTTAGTGTAAAAGCGACTTTAAGGGGTACCAACTGTAGTGTAGAGGCGACTTTAAGGAGAAGAGACCTTAGTATAAAAGCGACTTTAAGGAGTAGCGTCCTTAGTGTAAAGCTCCAGTGATCTGTTGAAGACCTGTGCAAAGATGTGGGCCAGCTGGTCAGCACAGGTTTTCAGACAGGCTGGTGTGACACTGTCTGGGCCTGGTGCCTTTCTTCTCTTGTTCTTTCTGAAGACCTGACACACATCAGCTTCACTGATCTGAAGTGCAGGTGTGGGGGAGAGGGGGATTGCTGGAGGTGTTAATGGTTGTGTTGAGAGATGTTCAGTGCGGGTGTGGGGTGTCGTTTCGAGTTTCAAATCTACAAATCTCAATTCTTCAGCAAGTTGTTGATGTTGGTGTCTTGTAGTTTCTAATGACTTTTAGGCCTATCCACACTGAAGCCGTGTCAAAAGATATCAGCTTTGTAGTGTAGCTCCTCTTAGCCACTCTAATATCCTTATTCAGTGTGTTTCTGGCCTGATTGTACAAGACTCTTTGGCCTGGTGAAGCTGTCTGAGTTTTGTTGTGAACCATGGTTTGTCGTTTTGTATGTTCATTTTGAGCACAAAGTATTTGCTTTCTGCAAGTGTAATTTTTTAGTTTATTTATTTTTTATTTTATATAATTATTTTTAAAAATACGTTTTATACGAGTTTCAGGAATGTGTGCAAAAAAAATCCCGCAACCGTATCATGCTTTGTTATACAGTGCACACAAACAGTATTAGTTTGTTAGTACATGTATTAGTACATGAATGGTTAGTATACCTTGCAATAACGTTGTCTGTTTTGATAATTGATGATAATAGCGCTCTGCTCTCGTCCATGTTCTTCATGGCTACAGTAGCAGCACAGCGGCAAGTAATCAGTATAGCTCGCAGCGCCCTCTGCTGGCGAAAGTAATCGTTGTTTTGAACGTGCTGTAAAACTGGGACATTTTCGGGGACGGGATACCAAAAACTGGCACTCTACTCTATCTTACCTTTATTATGTGTGTTATGTGAGAATCAAGCCCATTACATTGGTGTTGCTTCAACCATACAACTCAAGTTAAGCGGAAAGTAGTTGAAGAAACTTCATGAAGGTCTCCTGTTGTTTTCATGCTCATATGCATTTGGCCTGCTGTGTTTGGATTGCCATGCTTCATTTAAAGTAGAATGAAGGAAAAACTTTTAAGCATTATTAATACATCAAACATAAATGATTATAAACCAGTTGATAAAAAAAAAAAAAAAAAACTAAATGTAAAAGTTTTATCAGTATTGTTGCTTGAACCATGCTATTCAAGTTGAGGAAGTTTAAGACTCTTTTTCTGTTTCTGCAGTAGCTGCTTCATCGGTGTGTTTGCAGTGCTGATAAACAAAGGTGAGAACAAAAACTACATCTGAGAGTTAAATTCATACAACATAAATGCCAGACTTTGTGTTTACAGTTAAAGTTTGTGTGATTTCAGTGTGTCTGCAGGTCACAGTTGAGGCTGTTATTGGTGGTTCTGTTGTCCTGCCATGTTCTTCAACTCAACATGATCTTAAACTTCAAGACATTGATTTGAGCTGGATACACAATGGTAGCAAAATTGTAGTTGATATAATTCCACACAGTAATTCACCAATGACACAGGACCCAAAGTACAAAAACAGAACTGAAATTTTCCCTGAAGAGTATCTGAGAGGAAATTTCTCCATCAAACTCAACAATCTTCAACACACTGATGCAGGACAATACTTCTGTGCCATTACACACTCATCTGAATATCAGACTGTACAGCTGATCATCAACGGTATGTGAAAATAGTAGATTAGTGCTAAGTTTTTAAGTTTAAATTAGTGTGAAGTTTTTAATTTAAAGTTGTTGTTGTTGTTTTTTAAATCTAAATACTGTAAGTGATTGATCCAGTTTTTGAGATTCACTAGTGATATTCCAGTCTGAATGCTGCTATGAATTGTAGATCGACCTGTGTTGCCTTTATCACAGTGAGGTAATGTTTTCTGTACAACTTTTATTTTTTCAGAATCAGTATCCACTGAACAAGGAAACAAAGGAGAAACAGACCATGAGGGAATGGGGCCATCGCTGCATTTGCTCTTGGTTTGCATTATATTATTTGTGTTACTTATATCGGTTATAGTTTTCATTGTAGTATTCTTGAGAAAAAAGTGCTCAATCAGCCACGGGGCAGCCAATCGTGAGGTTTTGAGTACACAATATGAATCGGTAAAGGCTGATAGTCCTGATGAAACAGTTGGTAAATGAAGCAACTGTACAGCTTTGCTTTCCTGCAGCAACTGCATGAGATTTTGCATTAAACATGGAGTCAGAGGAGGAGGTTGGTGCTTTCATTGTTGCTGCAGCAGCTTCGGATAGAAAAAGAAATAAAAAGATGAGTAGACAAAGCATTTGTTTGAAGAACAGAAAACCACTAGATTGAATGAGTGTTTCTGTATCTTCCTTATGTGCACACTATAAGGCCACCTAGCAGTCTAAAGTGACATGTGATGTGGTTGTTCGTGGTTTTGGATTTTAAGTCAGTTCCCTAAACATTATCAGGAGCTCGCAAGGTGCTCTACTACTTAAATATAGTGTGGGAATCGAAGATCGGATTTATATCCGTTTTGCTACGACACATTTATGTGGCCAAGTGTAAATGGAAACGTTTTAACAAATCAGATAGATATCCGATCAGCGAAAACGCATGAAATGACCAGGTGTAAACAGGCCCTATATATTGGGTCCGTGGATAAACTCTTAAAGGGACCGCAGTCCAATATTCCTACTGCTGTCTGTCATGTTAATCAAAGAACAAAAGACAAAGAAAATCACTTTCTGCTCTTGACTGAATACGTTTTATAACTTTAATGGTAAGCATTAATCTGTATTTAATTTTT